GCAGTCCTGTGAAGTAAAAGTAAGGAGACTGAGGCCTAAAGGAGGGGTAAAAGTTGATACATAATTCTTCTACAAGTATGAATCAATAATACTGCATAATAAATTTAACCTCTCTTTATCTGTGATCCTTGAAAGTCCACTTCAACAATGTGGGGCACATATGATTTTCTCCATACTTCTTTCCTTCTCTGTCATCTTACTAATTCCAACTTGTCTTTCCTCCTCCAAAGCTTTCCCAAATGTTAAACAACTATAAAAATTAAAGTTTATACTTTGAGGACTAAAAGAAGGACAAGTTAATGATTTTGTAATAAATGATTACACATCAATCTAGTATGAAAGCCTATTTAATCAGTCTTAAGTTTTGAAATCTGTCTGGTCTGCCCATTAAAAACCTCTTCCTGGGCCCTCCCTGGTGGTGCAATTAGTTAAAGCACCGCATTACGAAATTCTCCAAAGCTACTGCACCATGAGTTCGATCCCTGGCTGAGGAGGTGACCCACATGGTGCAACAGACCTCTCCTGGCCTTCCCGCTGTTCCCCCAGCAGTGTACTTCATCAATCTGCCTGTTCTGCTCCCCAGTCTGTCTCTGGTGAACCCTCTCACCCACCACACCTATGGCCTGTACCCCAGTTATGTGAGCACAAATAAATAAGTCTTTAAAAAATAACAACATCAACAACAACAAAAAACCAACTTCTTCCCAACTTCCTGTTTTTATCCTTACCTATTTTTTTCTATGGTACCTTGTCTGTCTCTCTGGCCTTAGAGAACACAAATTAATGCCCAAAGTAAACATACTCAGGCTTATCACCCTGGAAAAATGACTGGTACAGTATGTAAATCCTGTTTTGAGGAACAGGCATCTGAGTTAAACTAAAAGTGTGTGAGCATGATCTTAGACTGCATCTTTCTCTTTGGGGGAACTACAGTCCACATCAACCAGTAACCAGTTATGGGTAGGCTAGAACATTTTCAGAATGAACCTAAGAGTCAGTCTATGTTGTCATTTGTAAGAGAAAAAAAGACCCAGAAAGTCACTACTTATACTAAGGTCATATTCACTGAACACTCCCATAGTCAGTCACTGTGCTAAACTGTTTTCATAGATTTTCCAATAACAATTAAAATGCAGTGTTAGGCCCCTAGGCCCCTCTGTCTGGGTCTCTGACTCACCCTGGGCCCAGAAAGGAGGGCAGGCAGATAGCATTCCTGTTGCCAGCTCCTGGAACTGGCTGAAACCAGACCGTGATATCAGCTCCTGACTCAAGACTGAGACATCTGTTCTTAGAAACCCGTTCTTGAGTGCTGTGAAGCTTGTTACTCTTTGAATTTGCACCGGCTATGACATGTAACGGCCGATAAGGGCCTATATATTCTCTGACATTCCTATGGTCTGGGTCTGGCCCTCCCTGTGTGGCCTGCGTGCCTGCAGGAAAGCTTGACCCCAGCTAGCTGGTTTAATAAACTCTGCTTGCTTGTGCATCTCTGGTCCTCTTCTTTGTCGCGAGGGACAACCGGGTGATTTCGGACCCTAACAGTAGCTATTATTTTGTCCATTATATAGTGAACTTCGGACAGTTTGATTTACTTGATTATCATTTATTTAGCAACTGGATTTACTAAAATTTAAACTCAGACAGTTCAACTAGAGAGTCAACTAATACTGGGTTGTCACACTCCTTGGTAACCTTTAGGATACACTCAAGCTATGGAGCAGAGCTCTTCATAAATATCTGAAAGGTCTGAGTTCCCCTTCCCAAGGAGACTGGTCAGTAATGAAAAGGAAACATGAAGTAAGTACAGTAGGCAAGACTGTGAGGTGACAAAGGCAGACTGACTGGTGGGCTATCAGAATTCCTTACTTTCTGTTTGAATAACAATAGCCTCAATCTGGAAGATGGAATCTTCTAAACTTCTACCCTCATGGATCATATAAAGTGACAGTTAGCAATCTTTCCTTCCATGGTGGTATTGGGTATTGTACTGACTGAGCAATCAACTTTTTTGGACACAATCCACTACAACACTGAGGCTCTAAAGTCTTTGCTCTTAGTATAAAACTGCTTAATAAATGATGTTAAGGTAGAAAATTAATTTTGAAAGAAGGAGGTCTGATCAAGATACAATGGATAGTATATGGGCTCAAGGGTTAGGGAGACATCAGTTAAGTTCTATCTCTTAACTAAACTTGAAAGTTACTTAAATTTCTGAAATCTCCATTTTTTTTAAAAATTTCTAATATGATGATAAAAATGTTGGTTGAATTTAACTGAACTCATTGAATAATTGGGAGAATTTAGATGAGTTATAAAATGTCATAAAATAGACCAAATGAGTGACAGCTTTTATGAGTACTATTGGGGTTAGTACTTTTGATATATATATTTAAATGATATACACATTGTTATATGTAATGCTAATAAAGAATTACTAAATAGCTTTAAAATATCAATTGTAAACCGTGGCTCCACTCTTAATGCAAAGGAACCTAAAACTAGAAGCTCAGATTTATCTGAAAAAAGGGGGTAAGAAGACAATGTTTGATAAGCATTGTTAAGAAAAATATATATTGTTTTTCATTAAATTGAGATCCAAATATTTTAAATTTGGGGGATTAATTTGCTTGATTTTCAGTATGAGCCCCAAGAAGCAGAAAACAGAAATATTTAGCCTGAAGGAAAAAAGGAATACAAGTTATAGCACACAGAGAGACAAAAGATTAGAAATTTCAAAATATAGTCTTTGAACTTTACAAGCAAGCACCCACCCAAAGTATTGAATAAAAGAGTTCATGTATTAAAAGATTTCTAAAAAGACATTCAGTGAGAAAAAAAAAAAAAAGCACAGAGGAACAAATGAATGCAAAATAAAAACATTTATAGACATATACAAGCCAAAATAATTCATCACCAGCAGACCCATGCTACAAGAAATGTTAAAAGAAAATCTTGAGCAGAAAGGAAAGGGTACCAGTGGAAATATAGATAATGAAATATTGGGAACAGTAACCACATGAATAAGATACACTCAAATAATTTTAATTATATATAAGTCTCTTTGAGAGAAAATTGATTGCTCACACACACACAAAAATACCAGTATAGCTGGAAGGGGGAAAACAGAACATATGTCGCAATAATCTTATATGCTGAAGACAGAATGTGATAAATGTTATTTGCATACTTTAAACACAAAACAACCATTAACATAACAAGAAAAAGAATCACAAGTCTAACAAATTAATAAAGGAAATAAAATGGAATTTTAAAAAGCTCAGTTGATTGACAAGAAGGCAAAAAGAAAGGAAAAGGAAATTGAACAAATGGAGCAAATCAAAAACAAACAGTGAAGTAATAGCCTTAGATCTAATTCTATCAATATTCACATTAATGTAAGTGGTCTAAAAATCTTAGCTGAAAGGTAGAGACTGTCATATAGAATAAAAGGTAAGAATTAACTATTTGCTATCTGTAAAAAGTACACTTTAAATATCGAGGTACAAGTAAACTAAAATAGATGGATCTAGAAAGCGTAGGGTAATGCTAATTACATTACTACATTAATATCAAGGAATATTTCAGTAAATATACCTGCTAGGGATAAAAGGTTATTAAAAAGTAAAGTGGACATTTAATCCAAAACACATCAAAATTATAAACACTTATGCACCTGATAGAGCTCCAAACACATGGAGCAAACCTGATATAACTGCAAGAAGATGGACAAATCCACAATATAGTTATATAGAAAGGAATGAAGAACACTGCAAGTAGTATCTCCGTGAATCCTGACTTGACCATAAATATTCAGAACAAGTAACGAAAAAGCAGCTACCACATCCGCAGAGGATCAGGGCCAGTGAGAGGCGTCACCAGAGACAGAGTGGGCAGCAGAACAGGCAGATCAAGGAAGCACACTGCTGAGGGGAGCACAGAATGGGTCAGGAGAGGTCTGCCAAGCCATGCGGTCACCTCAGGGGCAGGCGGGAATCGAACTCATGAGGAAGTGGCTTTAGCTTGTTAGTGCTGTGCTTTAACCCGCTGCGCCACCAGGGAGGGCCGATATAAATATTCTTAATAAAATTTTATCAAGTCATATTCAAAAATCATGACCAAGTGAGTATGACTCCAGAAATAAAATTGTATTCAACATTCAAAATTCTAAATCCCTATCAGGGTTGGGTAGGTCCGTATCAAGCTAAGAAACTAAAATTGCATGATCACCTCAATCTTGTAGAAACACTTTTCCTATACAAGATCTCAGCAATTAAAAGTAATAGAGAACTTCCTCAGCCTAATAAAAACATCTACCGAAAAATCCACAGATAACATCATCATTAAAAATGGGAGACCACAAATACTCCCCCACTAAGGGCAGGAACCAGACAAGAATGTCTAATCCTGCACCATATACTAGGAGATAAAGGGAATTCAAATTGGAGAGAGTAAAACTATCTTCATTTGTACTGATGCTATCACCTATGTAGAAAATCTGATAAAATCCACTAAACAGATACTTGAACTTGTTTTGCAAAGTTATACTGTATGAGGTCAGTGAATAAAAATCAATTGCATCTCTGTGTTCTAGCAATAATCAGAAAATGAAATTTTAGCTTCATTCTTAGCATTCTCTATGAGTTTTATCCAAGTGCCACTATGTTTGACAAATTCTGATACACCTTATTTTATGGTTTGTAGCTCTGGTTATTATTGTTTTGTGGTTCTTATTGACAGAGATCTTTATTTTTCATTTCTTCTTGTTTCCCAGTGTTTGAACTAGGTAAATATTTAACTAAAGGTAAAATTCTGCTACCTGATTTAAATCTCAAAGTAAACACATGGAGTAACAAACTCGGTGGCGAGCTGAAATCTGTGTTTGCCACTGGTGGCGGTGAGAAGGGGGCATCTAGTCTACCCTCCACTGGAGACCTAGACCAATCACATGATTGCAGCAGTGGCGGAAGTTGCAGCGTCACAAGGGGAGGCAGGACACCCACCTGACCGTTTCCAGGTCCTGAAGCGACCCACCAGAACAGCAGAAACTGCGATGCCCAGGGCGCTCAGCAGGCCTCCCGCGACCCCCACTGTGACATAGCTGATTTTGCTCCTAGAAGACACTAAATAGAAAGAGCTGCACTTTTCCAGAAAGTTTTTATTTAAACGGAAATCATGTAGGTGGGGGTTGAAGATCTATGAGGGCAGGTTTTTGTCAGGTATTGTTTCTCCATTCAAATTATCTCCAACATAATAACTTTAATTTTCAAAATAATAGCATGTGAAGGGTGATAGGCAGCATCTAAGACTGAAATTAATTTCTTTTCTTTCTGCCCCATTAAATCAGTACCAATCTCCAGAAGTCCTACGTCTTGGGGTCATATTCAAAATCTCTTTAACACTGGATCAGTTTGCATCGTCCATTGGAAAAATATATTTTTAAGATTTATTTATTTGTGTATACAGAGCTGGGGTACAGGCCAGAGGCTCAGGGGCAGTGAGAGGCTTCACCAGAGACAGAGTGGGGAGCAGAACAGGCAGATCTACAAAATACACTGGTGAGGAGAGATCTGCCACGCCATGTGGTCACCTCCCGGGCAGGCGGGAATGGAACTCATACCGAAGTGGCTTTCGCTTCTCAGTGCTGTGCTTTAACCCGCTGCACCACCAGGGAGGGCCGGAAAAATATTTTTGACCAAACAATAATTATCCATATAGCCCAGACACACCAACCTACCTGGGAACTGGAGGTTCACCGTCTCACTGCGCTGGGCCCCCAGGCCATTGTCAGCCTCACAGGAGTAGTTTCCAGAAGGTTCTGTGGTTAGCGAGAGGTTGAAAGACCCTCCTTCTCCCGTGGGTGCTGAGCTCTTTCCCAAGGTGATGTCCCCATGATAAAACCGGTACAGGATGGGGGGAGACCCCCTCTGGGCCTCACAGTGAAGCACCACCACATCCCCCTCCACAGCCCAGAGGGTGAGCACAGGGTGGGACACTGGAACTGGGGGAGAAAAATAGTTCATCATCAGTTTTAACTGTATAAACAAAATAACTTGATAAGGATGCTGTGCAGAAGGAAGCCTTTTAGTTAATATAGTTTCACTGTGTCAATATTCATTTGTAGCTAAGCCCACAAAGACATCACCTGAACTACTGATGTCATACAGTTTTGTAAATTAATGTTCCTAAAAAAAAGGAAATATTCTACATTCCTTTGTAGTAGTATTACAGGGTAGCCCAGAGTGAACTTGGGCTGCCTGTCTTTTGGTCCTCACCTGCGTGCACTCAAAATGTAATTTTCTGCAGACACACACAAAAAGAATAATGGGTTTATTTTGAAAGGGGGAAAGGAAAAGGAACAACCTAGGAAAATAGAGAGGGCTACAAAGTAACTGGAATATCTTACCAGCTCAACTACCTTGGCGCTCTAGTCATAAACTAAAACTGCTAGCCCCTAGTCACCCACTCAGAGAGCAGTTGCTCCAGTTGGAAAACGGCTCTTTATTTATCCCCCAAAGTCCCAGAATGCCTGCTTAGCTCTGCCCTTAGGTCCTTGCAGTTCTTTCCTTGGTGCTACTGGGAGTTGTAGTTTTCCAATCACTGGAGTAGGGGGTGGAATCCAGAAAGCTGGAGTAGGGGTGGAGTCCACCAAACTCTGCAGAGTTCTTTTAGAACATCCTTAATAGGATGAAATAGTAGGAAAACCTGAATTTGAATCCTGCATCTGGCAGGTATTAATAGTAGGAAAACCTGAATTTGAATCCTGCATCTGGCAGGTATTCTCTCTGTGATCTTGATGATTTACAACTTTTAATTGCTGAGTCTGTTTATTCTATTGTAAAATGGAGCTAATAATAATTGAATCTCAAGGTACTTTAGTAAGAATCATGTATATAAAGTGCTAGATAAATTTTATCTATTATTATTAGTGAAAGCAATAACTAAAATCAATGTTCATTTCTCCACTTTATTGACTGCTGAATCTTACCTTTAAACTTAGACTTTCAGCTTAATTAAGTAAAATAGGACCTCACTCCTCCCCAGGTGGAGAGCATTAGGTTTTAGCTATGAAGCCTTCAGCAGTAATCGCCTCCCCCTTTATGTGTATCTAATTCCCCTGAAAGAATATAAGTTTCATAAAAATGTAGACTTAACTGCTGGTTCATTGTTGGTGGAATTTGCCTGACATGTTCCTCAATAAATGGTGGATGAAGTCAACCAGATCAGCACAAAAGTACCCATAGTGACAGAACCAATGGTTTCCATTTTAATTGAAGATTTTTTTTTTAAGATTTATTTATTTGTGCATACAGAACTGCGGTACAGGCCAGAGGCTCAGGGGCGGTGAGAAGCTTCACCAGAGACAGGGTGGGGAGAAGAACAGGCAGACTGACAAAGTACACTGCTGAGGGGAGCAGCGGGTGGGCCAGGAGAGGTCTGGCTCGCCATGTGGTCGCCTCCGGGGCAGGCAGGAATTGAACTCATGAGGAAGCGGCTCTAGATTCTCAGTGCTGTGCTTTAACCCACTGTGCCACCAGGGAGGGCCCTTTAATTGAAGATTTTATAGAAATAGGATAGTCAGGAAGAATAGGTAATCATTGTTTTTTATGAATATAGAATAATTAGGAAATAATCTGTGTAGAAGGCGAACTGCACAGTGGCTAGTTATACTAAGTGGTGAGGACAACTGCCCAAGCTAAGCCCAAGGCAGGGTGCTAGGTAAGGCTGAGCTTCCCTGGCAGGGCGGACCCTCAGCTCTTCTTTTTTCTGAGATTAGCTAAAGAGAATGGACTGGGGGACCATTTACTGACTGGGAATGACTCAACTTAAAAATGTGCATTCTGCTGCCTGTAAACAGATGACAAATACGTCCTACAGTAGACATGCCATTCCTGCTTTTGGAAGTACAAGTTTCTGCTAACCCTCAATGAACAGGCTGAGTTTAATCTTTCCTTACAGTTTTGGCAGTTTAATGCAGTTTAACAGAGAGTTGAGGGTCTGGGGGCAAGCCTCTGTATGGATTTTGTGTATCTTGGTGTGTTTCTTCACCAGTATCATGGCCTCCTATTTCTTTCAATTATTTTTATTGCACTAAAAAGAGCCTAACATAAAATTTACCACCATAAGCATTTTCAAGTGTATGGTTCAGTAGTAGAAAATCCATTCACAGCATTGTGCAATCATCACACTTTCCATCCTCAGAAGGCTTGTGAGAGGATCTCAGGCAGTGGGGCGGCATTGCTCAGGGAGGGACTGTTTGGACTAGACACAAAGAGCCCTGAAGCTCAGACCGAGGACTGGCAGCCTGCTCGCCTGGGAGGATTTCAGCCCTCTGGCACTCTCCTGTACTCCTGTGGGGAGGGGGAGATCCCGCCCCCACAGCAGAGGCCCAAAGACTTGTGAGCTAGAAAGGCTCACAGTACTTAGAGAGTAAACAAAGCCAGCCACCAACTCAGCCACAAGCCCAGCTCCAGGGAGACCTACAACACTTCCAATACATCATACCCACCACGGGCACACCAAGCATAGAGGGAACCTGGGACATCCAAAAGCAACAAATATCAACAGACACCTTCCAGAAACATGGACTCAACATATTACTAGCATTGGCTGAACACCACAAGAGACCCCTGACTGTTACCAGTTGAGATAACAGACACAATTACACACAATGGGGGCTGGCCAAAATAACACAACTCAGAATACCCTCCACAACTGAAGTGTCTGGAAGTCCCTCAGCCATTCCAGAAAGAACATCCAAAAAAAAAAAAATTGCTGGTCAATAATAGGAACACCATGTCTCAGCAAATAGAAAATGCTAGAAAATACAAAACAGGGAAAAGAAGACAAACAAATATTCAAGCAAGTCCACAGGAGGAAAATTCACCACAAAAAGATCAGTCAGCAGAAACCACCAAAGAAATAGAAGAATTGCTCAGCCTACCAGATAGATAATTCAGAATCATCATGATAAACAAACAAAAAGAAGATGAGAAGGAAAAAAATGAAATGAGGCAAGCTATCAAGGAGCTGAAGTATGCAAACAAGGAAATTAATGAAGGAAATGAAAAAGAAAATACTATATAAGACAAGCAATCAACAAACTGAAGAAAGAAAATGAAACATTAAAAAAAAGAAATAGAAGAAATGCAAGAGATGAAAAGGCCACTAGAGGAAACAAAGAATGCTAGGAAAAGTAAGAAACATAATAGATTAAATGGAAGAACGAATCAGCTCACTTGAAGATGCAGAAATAAAGAGAATTAAAACAGAAAAAGAAAGAGAAATAAAGGAAAAGGAATGAAGAAACACGTCAAGAGCTCTCTGACACCAACAAGAAAGGAAATATCAGAGATAGAGGTATCCTAGAAGGCGAAGAGTAAGGCCAAGGAATAGAGAAAATATTCACAGAGATAATAGAAGTGAACTTCCCTAATATGAATAAGGAGATGAAAGTAGACATCCAAGAAGCAAGAAGAACCCCAAACTACCATGATGAGAGGAAGAAAACAGCAAGAAATATTATAATAACTCTTCCAAGAATACAAGAAACGAAAAGATAATGAGAATGACAAGAGGAAAGAAACAAATATGCTATAAAGGGAAACTGATCCGGATGACAGTTCTCTGAAAAAATACTACTCTGAAGAAATACTACAGGCAAGAAGAGAGTGGAGGGACATACTCAACAAACTCCAAAGCAACCAGAAATACTCTATCCTGTGAAGCTCTCCTTCCTCTCCGAAGAAACAATAAGGACATTCTCAGACAAACAGAAAATCCACAATTTCGTCATGACTAAACCCCCTCTCCAAAAAATACTACAAGAAGTCCTCAAACCAAATCCAACAGAAGAATGAACAAGAAAAGTTCAAAATAAGGAATAAAAATACAGAAAGACCATAATGGCAAATGTAGTATATCAATATTATACCAATATTAGTATATATATCAATATTATCTCGAAATGTAAGTACAGAAGGACCATAATGG